GAATAATCCAGCCCAATAATTAAGAGCTAACGCATTAATCTGCATTAGCCCAGTCCACTAATAAGTAAGGAGAAAGTGGTTTGGTTAATTATGCATTTGAAAAATATCATTGTTTGTTTCATATATTTCATAATGGATTTGATTAATTAGATTTGTATATAGCCCATGGATTTGAACCCTCAAAGTCTGTGGACCCCATGGATTTGTTACCACTAAATGCATGAAGCAAACAATAAATTTTGGACAAAATTCATGATGAATCCAAATCGTTCACCAAATCCATCAAACAAACAACTCCTGGTATTCACTTCCATACAATGCTTGATTTGTGATAATTTGAGCCAAAATGATACATATACAATCCAAGGATTTTCGAGATAAATTAAATCATCTCAAGATGGTGAATCGTCGTGAAGAGAACAAAGTTGTTCGCGATTATTCGATCTCGTAAGAGCAAGTCAGATGCTCTCGTACTCTCTAACTACCTTTAACCTTACACAAACAAAACCCTCACTACTTCTTCCCATAATTTACTTGTCAACCGTTATTCCTTCAAACTACATCTTTGGTGTCTATGGTTAGAAGAATGATGCTCCTTGACAAATGGGTTATGGCTCATGATAAAGCTCCATAAGAAGAGAGCAATTGGCGAAGAAAACTATATACAAGTACAACCAACCGAAGCCTATGTGGCGGGCAGAGGAGAAAATGAAGTGAGAAAATGGGTCCGACGGTGGACCATGCTTCTGCAGAAAGACCCAATCCAGAGTACAATCAGTAAGCACTAATCAAGCTTATCTTTGTTTGGGGAAAGAACGATGTTTCACCCAATGACCTAACTGATTGGCCACGAAAGGTATTGGATTCGACACCTTTGTTTGTGACAAAGACAAGACAAGAAGCTCTATAAATGGAGGTAACAACAATTTGATCCCACATCATCTAGTGAGCAAGTAGATTGATATGCTGCAGCGTGTTGACATAAGATCATATGAAACTCAATTGTATTGTTTGCGATTTCAATTGTTAGATATATGATGGTATTTTGATAAATGATAATGTAAATATACGTTTTTAATAATTAAAATCTTCTATGCTTTAATTTTCGTCATTCACGAATTATGCTAACATGCTTAAATGACGTGCTAGATATGTTAGAAACCATAGTTAAACACAAACCTAATTAATTTATACGAACCTGGTTATGGATTCATAGCAAACTGTTGTACCTAGTGTCTTCTAAGTGCACCTAAGACCACTTGTTTTTAATTGATTACGTGAAAGACTAAATCCACCCAATAACTTCTTCCAAAATATATATACCTTTAGTGGAGTAGGTAGATGAACATAACAGTGGAAAATGTATCGCACAAGACATAATTTTGCTATATTCCACAAATATCCATGATCTAATCTCATACATTCTTCACTTGTCTATCTCAATTTGAAAATTATACATGCTCATTATATTTTGCACCTAAATTAAATAACAATGATTAAGTGGTTAATAGATCATTCGCTTATGATAAGACGAGACTATATTGCTTGTCATTATTTTTTTCCTACAGCACATTGTATATAAAATTAAACTTTCATTGTCTCTCATTAGTATTAGAGAGTCCTAGTGTGATATGTGATCTAAACTTAACCTTAATTGAATAAATTTACAGCCATGAATTGCAATCTTAAACATCTTAACTCTAAATGGACATTAAGGATCGTATCCTGATTGATCGCAACATGCTGAACATAGATCAGAACTGTCGTTCATGAGCAAATCGTAACCGTATTTGCTCATGTAGCTTCTGAGTCGCTGGTGTTATCCATCTTTAGTCAATGGCGATTGACGGGTGACTTGGATTCATCAATGGAGTGGCAGTCCACCATAGGTGAATACAACTAACTTGCTTACACAGGATCTCAAACCCCGGCGGCCACCACCACTGGCCAGAAGCCACCACAGCAAATACCGACATGAAAGGTCGATATAAAATGCACTGGAAAGTGAGGGGGCAGTGTGTTGATTAGTTTGGTGCCAAACTTTTTGGGTTCAATTTCTTAATTAGAATCAATCAAAATGTATGTCTACATATGAATGAACTTGGAGCTAGCTTCCAGAGAACATTAATTGAACTTTGTTGGAGAACAAAGTCAGCTGGCCTCCAACATCTTTAATCAAGTCATATTCTTAATTCAGATGACCAATTATCTTATGGATTGAGAAAATGAGAAGGTCTCCTGATAATAATTATGTTGTTGTTCTTTGAACTTCTTGTGTAGCCATTTATAAATTACAAGTAGGGAAGCGAATATTCCCCTCCATCGTGAAGATTTGGTGCAGATTTTGCACTAAATTTATTTGGAAGCTTTTGTCTGGGAGGTGAGCTACAAAATTGCAAGGTTTTCTATGCAGCCACCCCTAAACTATACCTACAAACAAACTAAATAAGTATGCATGCATCATCACGGCTGGCTTTCCTGAGCTCATTGAATTCATTTGATACATAACAGAATCGTATAAGATCAAATTTTTGGGTCTTTACCTCTATTTTCATAACCGAACCGGAGGTTGAACCGGAAAAGTTAGTGGTTTAGGGTTCACCGGTTAACCGTTACAAAATCGTTGGTAGAACCGTTAATGATATATAACATATAAGACTTGTATATTACACTAATTTAAGAATGAAATTATCATTGACCATAAACAAGTTCAAATTCATATCATCACGAACATATCTAATAAATCATTCAAACCATCTCACAAAAGAAACCACATTTTTTAATTCAAATTAAAAATTACGGTTCTAGTTGGTAGTAGACAATGTAAAATCGATAATAAGGTTGAGGAAGCATATATAAAATTAATAATTATGATTTGATGGTCTTAGTTTATGTTAAAATATTATTTTTTGTTAAAATAGTGAACCAGTGGACCATTTAAACCGTGCCGGTTCATCTGATTTTATGTTGAACCGTGAAAAACCGTTTGGTCTATCAATAACCGTTCAAACAATGAACCGAACCGCTATTGTAATTGGTTTGACGGTTCTACTGGCCCGGCCGTTGATCCGGTTCGGTTCTTATAACAAGGGTCTTTACACAATGTGAAGGCTAAGATCCAGGATCAGGAAAAGCTCTTCAAAGCATCAGAGGCCCAATTGAAAAGCTCCTGGGCCCAACCTACACTTGGGCTGGGCTAATTAACAACTCTGCGTTTCAGTCGACGAAAATGTTTGACCAAAAAAAAAAACAATGAGAGAAGGCGACAGATCCAAAAGACCAAAACCAAGGCAAAGAAGAGAAGAGAGAAGAACAACCTCCCTCCCCTAACCCTTCCCTTACCACCGCGGAGACGGAATTGCATCAGTCTCGCTCGACCGACCCTCTTCTTCTTGGTCATCTATTCCGAGTCCGAGTTGGAATCTGAATCTCTGATTCTATAAATACGGCTACAAGCTACTAGCCAGCTTTCCATTCTATCAGCCAAAAGAGACATTCTCCAGCAGCTAGCGACATGGGTGCTGCTGATCCGGAATCGGAGCAGCAGGGAAGGCTTGGGGAATCGACGCCGTTGCTCATGTTGCCGCATTGCAGCAGCACGAGAATGATTAGTGGTAATTGCGAGAGTGGTAGTGATAGGTATTGTTGCTTTTACGATGTGGCAAATCGCCGATTTCACCACATCCACGGCGGCGGCGGCGGCGGCGGCGGCAACCCTGGTGTTGTTGTATGCCGGGGGTCTGCGTTTGGATGGTTGTTCATGGTCCACCAGATCCCTTCCATCTTCCTACTCAACCCTCTCACCGGATCTCAAATCCCCCTGCCGCCCATCACGTCTTTCCCCGATGTGTTGGACTACAACCCCCAAAGACGAAACCTTGAGTTCGTTCACCGATTGGATGGTGACCAGAGGCTCGTTGTACAGGGCAGGACCTTCTTCCAAGAGCGCTTCTTCCGGAAGACTGCTGTCTCCGCCGAGCCCACTGCAGAGGATTGCGTTGTGATGGCCATTCGGTTCAATAACAATTACCGCCTGGCTTTCTGCAAGCCCGGGTGTGACGAATGGAGCTTGGTTCCTAATCCAGAAGAAGAAGAGAAGATCCCGTTCATGGATATCGTGTTCTGGAAGGGTAAATTTTATGCAGTCGACTGCTGCGGCAGGGTTGTGGTGGCTGATCTTTCCATCCCGCACCGCCCCAAGCTCTCATTCCATCTTAACTTGGCCCCTAGGGATTTCGTCAACTCCGAACATCCATACTTGATCCCGAGCCCAGATGAAGGTGGTGATCGACTGATGATGGTGACTAGATACATGGAATTAGTAGCTGCTGCGCCAAGAGGTTACCGGACGGTGAAGTTCAAGGTTTACAAGCTGGATGATGAGGATAGGAAGGGATGGGATGAGGTTGCAAGCATCGGGGATTTCGCCATCTTCGTTGGGTTCAACTCTGCCTTCTCCGTTTCCACCAGAGACCATTCGGGACTGATTCCAAATTCCATTTATTTCACGGATGACTTTATCGACTGGCACCAAAGGCACAAGCTAGGAGGTCATGATATGGGCGTTTACAGCCTCAACACTCGTGCCGTGAAGCCCTTGTATTCTACCTCCTCTCTGCATGCTAACCCTTTGCTCATTTCGCCGTTGCCTGTTTGGATCCTCCCATCCAACTAGTTAGTTACACTTTTTAAGTTAAGAAGACTGAACATTCTGTGTGAGCTCAGATTTTTGGCTAACCTTAAAGCTAGATAATAAGCAAAACATCACACTCCCAATTCTGCAGCTAACACTACACACACCAACACCATTATGGATTTCACCTTCCCATCGCAGCCCCAGCGCTACGATGTGGAGGGCAGAGGAGAAAACGGAACTGCGAAAATGGGCCCGACGGTGGATCATGCTTCTGCAGAAAGGCCCAACCCAGAGTACAATTAGTAAGCATTAATCAAGCTTATCTTTTTTTTTTTTTTTGGGTTAAAAGGCAGACGTTGAGCGCCTAAATCATATTAACAATAAATCTTTCGTGGGAAGTTCCCATTACATCATGGTTGATCCAACTAACCAAACCCCTATCACACACATTGAATTGATGTGTGCCAAAATCAAAATCATGAGCCTTGTTGGCCAAGTAATCAGTCGCATAGTTCGCTTCTCTATATACATGGGACACTCTAACCTCCCATTGTTGATCCAAAATACAGCTCAAGTGCCTGGCAGTAGAACCATGGCGATGCACATCATCATTCCTGTGTTCAATGATGTTAATGGCAGTGGTGGAATCGCTGTGTAAAACGTTCTTCCTGTAACCTGCCTTCCACGCAATCCTCAAACCCTCCAAAGCTCCTCGAAGTTCTGCATCTGTGATAGAGCATCGTCCAAGATTACACACATAGGCTCCCAGACATCTGCCTAAGTGATCCCTGAACAGACCTCCTGCTGCTGCATTGCCATTCGGAGCTCGAACAGATCCATCAGATTGGAGTTGAATCCATCCTTCCACTGGCGGTTTCCATCCAACCTCACAGGAGATTTTCTTCTTTGGAACAAAGCCTGCTGTCTTCTGGATATTGGCGTGAGCTTGATTGACGATATTAAACCAAGCTTTGATTTTAGCAATGACACTTTCTTTCAGAAAGGCGCGCCCTTCCATCACCTCCTCATTTCTTTGCTTCCAAAGCTGCCAGCAAATGATCCCAAACTCTGTGGCAGTTTCTTCACATTTGATGTTATGTATCAGCCAATCATTGAAGATCAGGTTTCTGCTCCTGATAGACTCCTTGCTCTGAAACGTTTCCCAGATGATCTTGGCTTTCCTGCACTTCCTGAGGATGTGCTCGATCGTTTCCTCTTCTTCATTGCAGTGGCTGCACAGGTTGCAGGTTGTCAGCTTCCTTCTCTCCCTCTCTTTGTTGGTGAGGAGGCGTTCGTGGGTTGCCAGCCAAAGGAAGTGTTTAATCCTGCTTGGCCCTCTCCACTTCCAAACGGCTTTCCAATTTCCATTCTCCTCCTGTTCCTCCATGTCAGCAACAAGCCTGTATGCTGATTTGAGGCTGAACCTTCCATCCTTCTCCAAGCCCCAGATGGTGACATCCTCTCCCAGCTCAGAGTCAGGTGCATCAATGCCTGCAATAGTCAATACCACTTCATTAGGTAGATATTGACCAAGTCTATTCCAGTCCCACTTACCCTCCTCAGTAACCCAATCAGCAACCACTGAGTCCAAATCCTCTTCATTAATATCAGCATTGGCAAAATCAAGCTTATCTTTGTTTGTGGAAAGAAAGATGTTTCCTCCAATGACCTAACTGAGTGGCCACGAAAGGTATTAGATTCGGGCATTCGGCTCCTTTGTGACAAAGACAAGACAAGAAGCTCTGTACATGAGGTACGACAATTTGATCCCACGTCATCTAGTGAACAACTAGATTGATATATGCTTCTGCGTGTTGACTTTACCGGATCATATGAAACTCAATCATATTGTTTTACGATTTCAATTGTTTGATATATATATATATATATATATATATATATATATATATATATGATGGTATTTTAATAAATAATAATGTAAACATATGCTTTTAGTAACGAAAATATTTCATACTTTACAATCTATCATTCTCAAACTATACTAACACGCTTATCCTCTGACATGCTAGACACGCTCGTCCAGTGTCTCTAAAGAATATAAATTGCAGTTATTACACAAAATCTAATTAATGGATAATGAACCTATGAGTATGGTTATGGATTCATAGCAAACTGTTGTACCTACCATCTTTTAAGTGCACCTAAGAGGTCATGTGTTTAATTGAATATGTGGAAGACTAAATCCATCCATAACTTAGTCCAAAATATATGTCTACTTTTAGTGGAGTAGGTAGATGAACATATTAGTGAAAAATGTAATGTACAAAACATAATTTTGCTATATTCCACAAGTGTTCATGATTTAACCTCATACATATTCTTCAATTGTATGTTTCGAATTGAAGTTGATACATGCTCATTATATTTTGCACCTGAATTAAATAATAACGAATAACGATAAACGGGTTAGTACATCTATTACTTATAATAAAACGAGATTATCTTGCTTTTAGTAATGTTTTTAACACACTGTATATAGAATTAGACTTTTATTGGCGTTAGAGAGTTTTAATATGATTTGAGATGTAATTTTAACTCTAAAAGAATGATCTTGAATATCTCTAACGAGAAATGGGTGTTAGAATCGTAACCGGATTGATCAATACATAGTCCAGGACTGTCGAAAGCGACCTACTGGTCCCAATTATCGATCGTCGTTCATGGTAATTAAAAAAAAAAGCCCATTGAGGGTCTTTGCTCAATTTTGCTTCTGAGATGGTACCATCCCTGGTTTTATCCATCTTTAGTCAATGGCGGGTGACGTGGGTTCATCAATGGAGTGGCAGGCAGGCCACCGTAGATCCCAAATCCCGGCCGCCACCACCACTGGCCAGAAGCCACCACCGCTAATACCGACATGAAAGGTCGATAGATAATGCAACCGGATCTCTTTATAAAGAGAGAAAATACAAGCCGTATTTTTCTCTTCCCCCGCCACTCTGTCTACTTTCCCTTTTCCTTTTAATTTTCTCAGAAACCAAACAACCCGTGGAGCTTTCTTCCCATCCCTCTGTGGGAAAGAAGAGAAGGAAATTTGCTATTAATTCATACCCCATAAATAATTAATTAATATTTCCTTTATAGTAAACCGGATTACGGGGGGGATAATTAATGAGGAGGAGGAAAACCAAACGGCAGCTCCGGCAGCAGTTCCTTCCCGTCTAATAATCTTCTTCTGTCTCTGTTTTTTCCCCTTCCTTCCCGCCCTTCCCTCCGGTTCCGGCAGATGCGCAGGCGGCTGCTCGCCGCCCCGCCGCTGCCATGAAGAAGGATCACCGGCGGAATCGTGACGACGTCGTATGGAGCAGGTTCTTCTGGTGCACGATCTTCATCGTCATCTCTTGCGTCCTCTTCACTGGCTTCAATTTCTCCTCCTTCCGTTTCCTCTTCTTCCCTCCTCCTGGTAAGTGAAAAAGATTCGAACTTTCCCTTATTCGAATTGAAATGATTAATGATCCCTTTTCATTTCCTCTTTCGAATTCGGTTGATTGGTTATTGTATTGATGTTTTCTCGCCGCCAGCAGAGAGGCTGCAGCCGGAGATAGTACCGCGATGGCGGATGGATGCCGTGGCTACCGCCGGCGGCCACGGACACGACTCTCCCCGGAAGTTGGACGGGAAGGAGAAGAAGGTGTGGATTCGGGAGACGGTTATCCTTCCTGACCAGGTTCTGCTCTTCCTAAACTACCCTCCCTCCTCCGCCGCCACGTCACCACGTTTATTAACTCGCGACGATCTCGATTGCGTCTACAACTTCTCCTCCTCCCCGACGGCGAGGCAAAAGAACGCCTCGCGGCCGCCCAACCGAGTCGACGGGGAGATCGTTCGGTGCCCCCTGCTCGACCGCTCCGCCGCCGTTTCCCTCTCGGTGAAATCGGCCGACACATACGCCGGCGGAGAAGTTCTTCTAAACGCGCCCCCAGCTCGCGCGTGGCATTCCCTGGCGTACGAGGCGCTGATCGACCGCGACAACACCACGGTGGTCTTCGTGAAGGGGCTCAATCTACGGCCGGATAAGCTCTACAACGTGTCGCGATTCGAGTGCGTGTACGGTTGGGATTTCACGAGGCCCAAGTTCATCCTGCGATCCGAAGTCATCTCGATCGCTCAAGAGATCGCACGGTGCAGAACGCCCCTCAGCCTCCTGACCAATCCCTTCAATAGCTCAATCAAAGTCACCGTCCGGGTCAAAGGCAGGGTAACCCTCAATTCCGTCGCCCAGCCTCGGCCCAACCCCGAACCAGAACCCGGGCGAAAACCGCACCAATTGTGCATCTGCACGATGCTCCGGAATCAGGCCAAGTTCATCAGAGAATGGGTGATGTATCACGACGAGATCGGCATATCTCGATGGTTCATCTACGACAACAACAGTGAAGACGAGATCGAATCAGCAATCACATTGTTGACCGGTTCCGGTTACAACATTTCCCGTCATGTCTGGCCGTGGGTGAAGACACAAGAAGCCGGGTTCGCCCACTGCGCGATACGAGCTCGCCCTTCCTGCGAGTGGGTTGGGTTCATCGACGTGGACGAGTTCCTCCACCTCCCATCGGGCCAATCGCTGCCCGAATTCCTCACCAACCTAACCGAAGGAACGGGCGGACTCCTACTCCCTTTCCAGGTCGGGGAAGTTCGGGTGGCCTGCCATAGCTTCGGTCCATCCGGTCTAACCCGACCCCCAACCAAGGGCGTGATCGCGGGCTACACCTGCCGTTTATTCGCGCCCGAGAGGCACAAGAGCATAGTGAGGCCCGAGGCATTGAATTCGTCGCTGGTGAATGTCATCCACCATTTCCATCTCCGGGAAGGGTTCGGATTCGTGGACGCGGATCGAGCCACGATGGTGATCAACCACTACAAGTATCAGGTTTGGGAAGTGTTCAAGGAGAAGTTCTACAGGCGGGTGGCGACGTATGTGGCGGATTGGCAGGACGAGCTGAACGTCGGGTCGAAGGATCGGACACCCGGGTTGGGGACCAGAGCGGTCGAGCCGGATGATTGGTCGAGCCGGTTCTGCGAGGTGAATGATACCGGGCTGAGGGATGAGGTGGTGAGACGATTTTCGGACCCGTTGACGGGTACTCTGCCGTGGGAGGATGAAGCCGAGGCTATGCGGCAGGGGTTGTGAAGATGGATGGCGAGTTTTGGTGATGTTTGTAGCTTTGCTTGGTTCTTTCTATTTGTAGATATAGAAGGGTGCATGCATACTGCATATACATGTAACAACCAGAGGGAGAGAGGGAAATCAGGTGATTTGGCTCGTGTACAGAGGGTTAATTTAGAACAGAGGTATTTGATTATGATCCTGAAATAGTGGTGGTTTTTGGTTGAACCAATTTTCAGGAATGCAGAATCGATGATTAGATTTTACCTCAGATTGAATTGGTTTTGATTACTACATTCAAGATTTTATTGATGCTCTTGTGTCTGATTTCATTGGTCTATTTAGAGGGGAAAATTATGTACTAGACATTGCACTATATCAAATGTGTTGTTGGTCGGATTCTGATCAAAATTCTTGATGCTCTTGTGCCGATTGGACTACACTGCAGTAGTGACAAAAAAATGATAGACGGTACGAGATTGTGAGGGTGCACCCAATGCCACTGCTCTCACAAGCACCTGATTCTTAGCGGTACACGACAAGGAGTACAGGACACGATAAGGCTTTCTAACTTCGAAATAAAATTCGACCGTTGCGTTTCACTTCTCAGAAACCCTCGTCGGCTCTGCGTCTGCGATCTCAAGCGAAACTATTCGACTTTCTCTACGTTCCTTCATTCTCTCTTTGCTTTTCTTTCCATCTCCACTGTTGGGACACGAGCGCGGATCGAGGTCGGGAAATGGCGGGGAAGGACCCGATTCAGAAGGAACCGAACCCAGTCGGGACGGTTACCGCCGGTCAGAACTTGGAGTCTCTGTTCAGCCCAAGGTTCAAGTCAGCGGCGGCCTTGGCTGGGTGGGACGAAGAGTCCATTTTACTTGCTAGCCTTA